CGGGCTGTGTAAGAAAGTTAGCTGATCTTGAGACAGTAGGCAGTGTTCCTTCACGGTGTCTGAGTTTGCTCTGCCTTCCCTCAATGAGGGATTGTGACCTGGAAGTAGAAGCCCAATAAACCCTTTTTCCTCCAAGCTGATATTGGCAGTGGTGTTTACCTTAGCAACAGCAAGCAAACTAGAACAAAAGGAGTTTAGACTGCCCAGGGAAAGTCTAAGATGATATCCTTGCTTCCATTTTTATTAAGAAGAGTATTTCGGATTGGGATCACGACACATAAAACTTCAACATTCATTTGCTGTGTTTGGATGAATCCTATAATCTAGGCAGGGCTTATATTCCTTTTCTCTTAAATGAAGATAATAAAATTTGAGAACACCGTGGTGCGTCTCCCCTGGTAGGGATGTTTTACAGTCAAGTAGTTTGGGAAAAGTAGAATGAAAGCATGGTATGGTTACCGAATAGGCTTGCCTCTTTCAGACACGCTAGTGTCGTATCTTAGAACTCCTTTCTAGCAGCATCCTGACTGGTGTCCCCCTTCCTCCATCTATCCTCGTCTCCTATGGCTGTGCCTCTGACACCGCTGGTTCAGCTTATGACGAAGTGACGTGCCGCAGCCTGTGAGTTCCGACTTATTGAGCACAGCGATACTGTAACTCCGTTATTCAGCCTTGGCTCATGGTCGATGTACATTGCATGCTCCTTGCCGGAGAGCGTGCGTTAGAAACCTTGGTCAGCAATGAAGATGTACTGCATTTAGCTAAGGTCTTTCTAGCTCCTGACTGTCTTCTTTTGCTTCGGTGAAATGTCCCATGTGACAGGTTCCATGTCTGCTGTGTCACTGAAGGGGGGTGGAATGTCAGTTGGAGTAGTTCTTACACAAGCTACAGGAAACCTTTGAATGCATATTAATAGAAACACTTGGATTCATATTAAGGGTTTGTACAATATGACATTATACTCCTACACGCCTTCTTACAATTATTGGAACCTTAGTTTGAACACACTGTGTCATATAAGGGACCATGGAGTTAGCAATTCCAGCTTTGTAATGATAGACCAACCAAATCTGCAAGGCAGGGAGAGAGGCTGGATTTTCTTTTCGTTTGAATCCAAGTTCTCAAACGGAGCATTAATTTGCTTCAGGTCAGATGAAATCATCATCTGAGCTAAGGTTCTCATTGCTTAAATCACTTGGGCCAGGCTGAGTTTGTTTGACCAAGCCCTGGATCTAATTCAGTTCCCTGAAGAGCGTGCAGTTATAAAACTGTCGTCCTAATGCCCAAGAGCAAATGGTAAGCAGGCATAGTGAGGATTCAGAGACAGTGAGAAGTTAAGGTCACAGATATCTGTAGGGTGAATCGGTGGAAGAAGGAAGATATTTGTGTCTTAGATGGTTTTGCAGCTTACTGCCTGTAAGAATATACTTGATCCCTACATTAGCATGTAGATTTTCAGACAAAGGACCTTTATTTTGGAGACTAGGGTCACGCGGGGCTCTCCATGGTCATATAACCAAACGACTTCTCCGATGTCTACCGTTGTTTTCCAGTTACAGACTTCTCTGTTCTCAGTAGTATCGCCTGCACACACACGCATGCGTTTCTGTGTAATTCACGCTCCCCTCTCTGTTCACTTAGTGTCAGCCCATAAAACCACTTCCCGGGTCTTCCAACAGCTAACGCGGCTTGAAAAGCATGGCCTATCACGTCCCCTGCCTGCCGTCTGATTCAGACTTGGGATGCACGCGGCAGTAGTCTGAAAGAGAAGAGGGGAAGTGGGGGGGCCTGGACCGTGAGAACAATATCCCTGGGCTAATAGAGGGTGGTTAGGTCCATTACAGTCAAGTGGTAGCAGGAGAGACAGAATCACTGGTGAGTACCAGGAATCCCGAGGCATCATGGGAGGCCGTGGGAGAGGCCATGCTTATGAACCATCATCTGAGATGCGGCCAGCGTGAGGACTTTCTTCCAGGAAAATCTCAACCTTGGAGGGGTTTTATGGTTCATTGCCCAAATGAATGCACCCGCTTCTCACGCTAGTGCACACTGTTTTAAACAGTGCCTTTGGGTTGATGCAGCTCTAAGAACCGCCGCGGTCACGCGACTGCCCAAGCTTTCCGCCGCGTGCCACGGTTCGTCGTCACAGACCGCCGTCTTCATGCCTCTGTCTCTGCACACTGGCATTAGTGTCCCGGTGTGGAGCTCTTGCTGCGCGCGGCCTCCTGCTTGTTTGGGGCTTCATTTGCATCGTCCGGACTCCTCTTAGACCTGTAAAGTAGATATTACCTTCAGTTTCTAGACAGGGAGGCCACATTTCCTGTGCGTCATCACGCTGCCTCTTGGCGTGTATCAAATCCCTTGTCAAGGACGTCAACTATAGCCTGCCAGCTGAAGGTCCAACCTCGGCTCTGCTGTGTATCTGTAGGATCTTGAGTGCATTTCCCCATCTATTTGAGCCAGTTTTCTCATGTGATGTTCCCTGAGCCATAGATACGGCATCGGTGCTGCAGTTGTATATATGTTTGTGTTCATGTATGTGTGCACGGACATGTGTGTGCATGTGTGTGTTCTTGTGCATGTGTGTGCATGTACATGTGTATGCACGTGTTTGTGTGTATGTGTGTTCTAGTGTGTGTATGCATATACATGTGTGTGGGCATGTGTGTACACATGCATGTGTTTATATGTAAGTGCATGTGTGTATGTGTGTGTGCAAGTGCGTGCACTGTTGCACCTTTGGGGGCATCTTGCCAGGCTGGTCACTGTTGTGGTTCATGGCATTGCAGCTGGGTAGGCTGTTTTGCTTCTCTTCCTCGGCATCTTACTTAGTACTTTTTAGTACCATGGAAGCTAGGCTGTAGGAAGGAGACTGCCGGCTTAGATCTGGCTCACACAGTCTGTGTCTTGTGTCCTATGTGTGCCCTGCGTGTACAGTGTCTTTAACAATAGGGCCATTCCTTATCCTTTGAGGGGAACCCTGGGGCAGCAGCCACAGTCTGGATTGTTTTGGGAAGTAGTTTGTACAACCTAGCAACCACTGGTATAGGAGTTTCTCGTGACTGGTACCGGGGTTTTTGTTAAACTCACACATGTAGGTTGACCGTCAAGCCTTGCTCTACATCCCAGCAGCCACTGACTGATGTCTACTTTGATACTGTGTGTTTCAGGATTCTGAGAAACGAACCCCGCTCCATGTGGCTGCCTTCCTGGGAGATGCAGAGATCATTGAACTCCTGATTTTGTCAGGTAGGTTGCTATCGTATTCGAAAGCCCACTGCTTGAGGAAGCTTGAATGGCCCGTTTACTAGACAGCAACTCTGGTGAATGGAACAGAATTGCTTTGCCCATCACAGTGTATTTGATCAGAATTTATCTGTACACGAAGCACAGCAGAAGACATTGTTGGCAACGATTCTTGACTAAGTGAACATTGCTTTGAACGTCTGATTCCCATCCATCTTGTCAGACTTGGCATGACAAACAGTACATATGGATATCTTGTTTTTTTTTAATTGTAAGAAAATAAAACTGGTTAAAGTCTACATGAGCACATATTTTATATATATACATACATATATATACATATATATATACACACACACATATATACTTTGTTTGAGTGTATACACGATGTATAGCACAAAGTGTGTATACAATCTGACTATATTTAAAATTGTACTACAAAATAATATTAGTTTCCTTCTAGGCAGTTATGGCTTCAATAAAGGTATAAAAACAGATGGAAGGGGCCATGTCAGTTTCTAAAGAGGTTTCTCTGAGTGGGCAGGTGGAGTTTGGAAATATCCTCATGGCCAGGCATGAAATGGACTCCCACCAATTTTATAAGATACTTTATTTTTTTAAAAAGTGAGTGCAAATATGGGAATCGTGCCAGATCTAATCTCTGTCTTTACTGGTCTGAGATTCTTTTTCATTCTCTGTATTTTTAATGTTTTTGCAGATTAAGAATATGAATGCTTTTGTTTCTAGACTCTTGTATGCTCAGGACAGCTCACCAATAGGTTTCCAAAACCATCATGTGGTTTTTCATCTGAATGCTTGCCAGGCAAATCCCTGGAATGAACCTGAACAGAGTGCACACACCTCTCTGTAGACTGTATGTAGGTCTCTCTGTAGACTGTATGTAGGTCTCTCTGTAGGCTGTATGCAGACCTCTCTGTAGACTGTATGTAGACCTCGCTGTAGACGTATACAGGCCTCTCTGTAGACTGTATGTAGGTCTCACTGTAGACGTATACAGGCCTCTCTGTAGACTGTATGCAGGCCTCTCTGTAAACTGTATGTAGGCCTCTCTGTGGACTGTATGCCGGCCTTGCTGTAGATGTATGCAGGCCTCTCTGTAGACTGTATGTAGGCCTCTCTGTAGACTGTTTGTAGGCCTCTCTGTAGACTGTATGCAGGCCTCTCTGTAGACGTATGTAGGCCTCTCTGTAGACTGTATGCAGGCCTCTCTGTAGACTGTATGCAGGTCTCTCTGTAGACTGTATGTAGGCCTCTCTGTAGACTGTATGTAGGCCTCTCTGTAGACTGTATGCAAGCCTCTCTGTAGACGTATGTAGGCCTCTCTGTAGACTGTATGCAGGCCTCTCTGTAGACTGTATGCAGGTCTCTCTGTAGACTGTATGCAAGCCTCTCTGTAGACTTATGCAGGCCTCTCTGTAGACTGTATGCAGGCCTCTCTGTAGACGTATGCAGGTCTCTCTATAGACTGTATGCAGGTCTCACTGTAGACTGTTGTAGGCCTCGCTGTAGACTGTATCCAGGCTGACTGCTCTCCTTTCTCCTGATTTTGTCTTACGAGACTAAAATCTGGAGGAAATGCTGTCACTAACTAAGTAGGCAAAAGGCCTGGACTAAGCTTTCGCCTTTGTCTGCAGTAGCCAAGGGAAATGCCAACGTTCCAAAGTGTGCAATGCCAAGACAAGAGCGGGGTGCGTGTATCTGACAGATGTGACGCGCACCATGGTAAAGACGGAGCCATGCCGTGTGCACAGGAAGGCTCATGTTGCTCTCAGGTTTACGGTGTTCTATTCCTCGGGTGAACCTTTCCAGGAAACAAGGATAATGTATGTGAAGTCAAGTGTGCCTTAGCAGGGTTAGAGTGTGGACGTTTCTTATTCTCAAGAGCAGATCTCCCTTTTGGCAGCCGGAGGGCGTTCCGGGCTGTGTTCCAAACAAGCATGCTTCGTGTGCTATTGGCACAGACCATAGCTAAGAGCCAGTGCCTATCTGGACAGTTATCCTAGCAGCTGAAGTTTGGTCCAGGGGAAACTGTGGACAGAACCTGTGTGTAAAATAAGCATCAGGTGGTAATGGCACCCAGTGATCGCCAGTAACGATATCGTCACCAAGATGAGCATTTCCTCATCTGAATGCCTGAGTGCCGAGTGTTCCAGGTGCTGACAGGGTACCGCCAGTGGGAAATTAATTAATCCTCACCTGGCTTAACGTGACGGGCTGCCATCAGAATGCAGATACGCTAACGTATCTCTAAGGTATATACCAAGCCGACGCAAACGTCATGAGTCGTCTGGGGTCAAATAGAACAAAATCCTTTCCTCCAAATTCAAAATCTGCAGCACCTCTGGGCTCAGGCAGTTTGGATAAGGGGTGTTCAACCTGGCTTAAAGGGTGTCTCAGAGGCTGCAGAGATGGGTCCGTGGTTCAGCGCACCGGCTGCGGCTCCAGAGGGCCTGAGTTCAGGTGCCAGCACCCAGCACAGGCAGCTCACAACTGCCTGCATTCCAGCTCCAGGGGACCTGACACCACCTTTTGGCTTTTGCAGGGACTCCCCCACCCCAGAGAGAGAGAGACAGAGAGAGAGAGAGAGAGAGAGAGAGAGAGAGAGAGAGAGAGACAGAGACAGAGAGACAGAGAGAGAGAGACAGAGAGAGAGGGGGAGGGAAAGAGAGAGGGAGGGAGAGAGAGAACCACAGGCAAATGGCAGGAGAATGGGAGTAGGGAGTGCCTTAGAACAGTAAAGCCTCAGCTTTATGCTTCTCTGTCCTAGGCTTCGAAGGGGAAGCTTTTAATTCTGCATCACGAGGGTTCCCCATATGGGACCAGTGTCACTCGGCATCACCTTTCTGCCACCCTCACGTGGCGTAGACTTCTCGGCGTCTCTTCACCCATGGCTGATCCAGGCGAGTCAGGGGAAGCTGTTGTAGTGTCTCGGTCTGCACCTGTTTAGTCTTAGAATTACCGATCTGTTCACCTCTTTAGCATGACTTCGGTTTAGTTTGCTGTGGAGTTTTTCTCTGCCTCGCCCCCTTCTGCCCACCCGGTCGAGAAAGCTCTTTAGCAAGTTTATTCGACGGATGCCAACTTGGGTGGGTGGTGCGGCCTTCGTTTTTTTCCCTGAAAGGACTTTTATTCAATTTGTATTTTATGTCCCTAAAGAAATAGCGCATGACGGTAGTGACTTCAGTTCTGAGATCTCATCTGGCAGCTGACCCTTCGGGGAACCCTGTCACACGGTTTCCTCATTTCATAATGAACGAGGCGCTAATGATTCCCATGTTGGACAAATAATTTAGCCTTGCCAGAAAGAGCTTCTTACAGCTGTGCTCCCTGTTGCTGGGTAAACTCAGAGCTTGCCGAAACCCAAACTCACTAAGTCGCCACCGACTTTGGCTCCTATTAACTGGGCCGATGGAACACTGAGTGTTTCTGAACGGACACTGTTTTGGAGCAGGGGCAGGGCTCATGATACACAGACCAGACAGATTGCTTCCACCTTCTTATCCTGTCTGCCACTCGCTCGGGTTGGATTTCCTCATCTGCCAGGGCTTCTGTTTGGGAACTGGCCAGGTCAGGATGAAGGCAGGTGTGGGGCGCCAGGGCACGCGCGGGGCAGGGGGGGCATCAGTCAGTGGAGGAACAGGGAGCACTGAGGTCAGAGTTGCAGTAAGGAAAGTGGGGGCCCCCAGGAAAATAACCACAGAGAAATATCTTACGGAAAAATCCAGGAAGAACAAGGGTGATGGTGTGAGTCTTGGGTCGGAGGAAGAAACTGGAGTGTTTGTGCTCTAAGTGGGAGTTTGTCAGGTCTGCCTACAGAATACAGAATAAACTCACTATAGGGTCTGGGGAGGTAGCTCCGTCAGTAAGATCAGGACTGAAGCCTGATCTTCAGCAGCTGTGTAAATAACCTGGCTTGGTGGTGTGTGTGTGTGTGTGTGTGTGTGTGTGTGTGTGTGTGTGTGTGTGCATGTGTGTGTGTGTAGTCCCAGAATCAAAGGAGTGGAGACGGTAGGATCCCAGGTTTGCTGGCCAGTCAGGACAACCTCACAGGTGAGTCCCAGGTCCTGGTGAGAGACCTTGTCACAAAACCCAAGGCGAACAAATGGCAAGGAACGGTCTTAGAGCTTGACCTGTGGCCTCCACACACATGTACTGACACACACACACACACACGCACGCACACACGCACACGCACACACGCACGCACGTACACACACGCGCACACATGCACACACACACTCACACCAGCTACATGCCTGCACAGACACACAAATAAAAGTAAGTGCATTAGCTAGAATCTATGCCACGGAACACGTAATAGTTTTGCAAGATGATTGCTTATATTTTTATTTATGTATTTATTTGCAATTGTGCTTCATAGTCCGGTGTCAGTTGCTCGCAGAGCTGATAGCATGAGGTTCTGTTACTCGTACATGCCTAACAGATATTCGTTCTTTGTGAATGGATTTGATTTTTTTTATATCTGGCAAAGATTGCGATTAACTAAATCAGAGTCGATCCTAAACACAAACCTGGTACAATGTTAAACAACAGGCTGCCTTCTGGCTCTGGCAGCAGCTCAAAGAAGTGTCTGAAAAATGTCTCAGGCAATTGCCACACACATGATATTAGCATGTATGTTTCCAAGGTGACGGGACTCCTGAGCTGCAGGAAGATCCGGCCTGTTTGGCAGAAAGAAAAATCAAATAGCAATGCAATTGCACTGCATTATAATCGTGTTTCATAAACTCTTTCTTGAACGTTTCCCTTCCTCATTAAACTGACTACCTGGCCTTGGAGCAGACTTGCCTTCTGAATTGATTACTGTCTTTGATCAACAAGAGTCGCCTCTCACTCATCCTTCAGTCCGCCTGGATCACCTCACTGCTTTTTGTCTCCTTCCTCTTCGTCCTAGATGACAAGGCTAAAAGAACAGAACTATTGTCTCTGGAAAGGATGCCAGCGTCCCTTCGCTCCCCATCCTTCGGGACGAGGAAGGAGAGCTGACAGGGACAAAATGAAGACCGTGCTTGAGTGGTAGTTAGAATTGTGCTCCATCATCTTCAGCCGAGCTCTTGTGTCTAAAGAGTCCATAATATCTAATACCTGTTTTCACGATTAAGGATTGTAGTGTCTTTGGGCAAAAGAGCTTTGGCCTTTAAGTCGTTAGCCGGACAGACTGTGTCCTTCAGGGCACAATGGTGCTGACGGGCAGGTGGAAACAGGGATTCCTTTGGAAAAGTCAGTTATGAATACTCAATAAAGCCCAAACCCTCTGCCACCCCCCCCCGCCCCAATAGGTGAATAAGACTCCCCAAGGTGTTCAGAGAAAGAGGATGGGGAGCCAGGGAGAGATGGCAGTGGGAAGGGGGAGCATGCAGTCAACACTGCTTTTGCTGTAGCTCCTGGTGGGGAGGAAGGGGCTGCTCCTGACAGCTGCTCAGCCAGCCTCTAGGCGGAGCCTGAGTGGCAGAATTGAGGGCATATTTATTCAGCAACTAAAGAAGCAGTTTCTTCCACCCAATTATGAATTTTCCACTTCTCAAGCTCCGCTGAGGCTGCACCTGACAGCGCCCGTGCTGGTAGGCCCTGCGCTTTGCTAGTCCCAGGCCCAGCAGGCAAGGGGCTCTTTCCTCCTCCTGACCGTTTTACCATTGAAAGCCATGATAGAATCTGCACAAAACTAAATGTAATCTGTATATAACAGTGATAGCAATAACAATGCGAATTATATGGGGAAATAGGCAGAGAATATGAACCAAATAATTCTCAGAAAATGTATTGCAAACAGGAAAAAACAGTGGAAAATGTTTAAGCTTAGTATTTAGGAGGAAACGTAAAGATAAGACGGCATTTTTTCTAACTAGATTTGTAATATTTTAAAATTTCTTTTAAAGGAGCTTTACCAAAATATGATCAATATTCTATACCACACACACACACACATATGCACACACACATAAACAATTTGAGTTTAACATATACATATATACTCATGAAGTAATTTCTGTAATCAAAACATGTTACCTCCTGCCTCTTGAAGATTTTCTCCATGCACCTTTCGGGATATAATGTGCTCTCTCTCCCCTTCAAGTGTATTTTAAGTACATAATTCAGCGTTATTAATTCAGATTCGTCACACTTAAGATGACTGGTAAGATAAAGCATTCATGAAGACCCAGGAAACCAAGCACTTAGACCCTGGGTGTAAATTCCCAGGCTCTGGACAGCCGAGGACACCATTAGAGAGAAAGCGTGTGCTATCCGTGATCCGTCTTCAGTTATCTGCCCTAGATGAAAACTTACACATCTTCATCAGAGCGGCATGGTATGAATGCCCATTTTTGTCATTTCTGGAAAGCTGTTGGGAATAAGGAAACTATCGACAGAGGAGCTGTCTGAAGAGATGTGACATATTTACACTGGAACACGTGTAGCAACGCAAAGGAATTGACTCGCTCTTTGTCAACCTGGAGAGATGTGAAATATATCTTGTTAAGTGGAACGGGGAGGGGGGGTCAGAGTGGGAGAACAATGCAATTCATGTGAACACCCCCCCCACACACATGCACTTATTTTAAGTTTTAGCCAGGCGTGGTTGCATGTAGCTGTAACCACAGAACTGGAAAGGCTGAACTCTGAAGACTATTGTGAGTTCAAGTCCAGCCTGGACTATGCAGTGAACGCCAGGTCAGCTTGCAGTACAGAGGGAACCCTGGCCTCAAAGAACAAAGCAAAATAACTTCAGGAGAGTTTTTTGGTATTGCTGCGTGCATGTGTGGTGTATGTACTTGGGTGTGTGTGAGTATGTGTGTGGTGTTTGCATTCATGTGCTTGTGTGTGTGTGAGTATGTGTGTGGTGTTTGTATTCGTGTGCCTGTGTGCACGTGGGTTTGGTTTGTACATGTGGAGATCGCATGTCAATGTTGGCTACCTTCGTTTTCTTCCACCTTAACACTTGCTTGAGTTTCTCTTACTTTTAAAAATATGCTTGATGAGGCTGGAGGGAAACCCCAGCAGGTGAGAGAGTCCTTGCTGCTCTCCCAGAGGACGCGAGTTCAGTTCCCAGCACCCACGTGAGGGGAGGCACAGCTGCTCATGACTCCAGCTCCAAGGGATCTCAGCTCTCTTTTGTCCTCTGTGGGCTCCCACACATGTGTGGCACACATGTGCGCGTGTGACTCCTCCCTCACCTCCATGGGCTCCCACACACATGTCATGCACGTGCATGTATGGCTCCCTCCCCCAACTTCTTCTAAGAAAGAAAAAGGATGTGCTTGCGGGGCAAGCAAGATGATTTAGCAGGTAAAAGTGTTCACCACCAAGCACCAAGCCTTGCGATCTAAGTTTTGTCTCCAGACGCCAAGAACCTACATAGTGGGAGGCAAGAACTCTGACTTCCACATGTACACACACACACAAATAAATGGAAAGAAAATGAACATTAAAAATCATGTGTTTGGAGCATGGAGAGATGAATTGGTTGACAGCTCCAAGCTTTAGAGCACTCCGTTGCCTGTTGCTGGAGATGCAGACTTGGGTCCCAGCCCTCACGTGGTGCAGGCAGACCTCAGTCTCCACTTCCAGGGGGCCCTGGAGCGCCCTCTTTTGACCTCTGTGAATAACAGCTGTGCACATGGTGTACATGTAACATGCAAGTAAACACTTGAGCACATAAAATAAAATAAATTTAAAAAATTTCAAAGACAGGGGCTGAAGAGATGTCTCAGTGGTTAAGAGCATTGCCTGCTCTTCCAAAGGTCCCGAGTTCAATTCCCGGCAACCACATGATGGCTCACAACCATCTGTAATGAAGTCTGGTGCCCTCTTCTGGCCTGCAGACATACACACAGACAGAATATTGTATACATAACAAACAAACAAACAAATAAATAAATATTTTTTAAAAATTTCAAAGAGAACTTAAAAGAATGTGCGTGTCTGTACGTCTCACGGTTGGCAGTTGATGGCATTGCTCCACAGTTGTTACTGCCTTTGGAAATCTTCGCCATCAACTTCGGGGGTGGGCGAGATAGTGAGGGGATTTTGCAACAAGAACTGCTAATAATTTTCTAGTGCTTTCTGACTTGTGAAGAATCCTCACCTCCATCTGACACTCCCGAGCCCCCAGTAGAACCAACATGGCAGTACTGGTGTGTGGTACCCTTATTCTAGAGACCAGAAACTCTGAGTCCTTGGGATACTGGCTGCTGACATCAGAAAGACTGCAAACTTCAGTCTTTGTCCCTAAATCCCACGTCTTTCCCATCCACTTCACTTCGGAGCATTTAATGTGGGCTTCTCATTGTAGTGTGGTCTCCCTGCAGCTACGTAGACGGCTTTCAACCCTTTTAGACAAGATGGAGTCCGTAAAGTCAACTTTCAAGATTTTAACATGGTTTAAAATTAAGTGCATTCATTGCTCGCAACCTCCGCAGCCTGTTACAATAACCTTGGGCTGTTTAAAAAAAATGTGTCCAATGACACCTCAAAGTGAAGAATTGAGCGGGGCGGTACCCCTTTGTGGGGTTAGGCTGTTTTCTCTGATGAATGCTGTTGACGGTTTTGTTCTCAGCTAAAGTAAAATACTCTTGGTTCTGTGACTCATTGTTTCTTTTTGTCTGTGGCTTAACCAGTAGCTCACACTTACCCACAGAAGCTCCTTCTCCCTTTCTAGAAGTCTCTGTGTTTCCCCTCTGCTTTCCGCTCACCCCACTCCCTCAGGCACCTACCTCCTCTTTCCTCCCATTTCCCTGCCCTCCTAGTTTCCGATATCCGCACCTGCTCTCCACCCTCACGAGCTTCTTTGCCGTCCTAAGACCCAAATGGGTGCCTCTCACCCATCGTGGATGCCTTCTCCCCCTTCCCGTGCACAGCCCTTTTTAAAAACAATCTCTCACTGACAGGAGGGTTTACCTAATCCTTGAACCAAAGACTTGTATAGGGTGTCTCCATTGTTCAGACCAATCTTCGGCGGCCTTGCTCCCACGGGAAGCTGTGGGACCGTCAAGGGAGCAAGGTGTGTTCTGTTTCCCAGAATCCCATCTATCTGCGGCTTCTGCTCAGTCAGTGCCATGACTTCAGCAGAGTGTGGAACGTGTCTCTCCGTGGGAGCCAGTCGTCTGCTCCACGGCATGAAGAAGTTGCAAACGGTCCGCACAGGTCTCCTGTCTGAAAACGCCATGGGATATAGATTCCTGTGTCAAAGGACCTGGCATAATTGGGATGCCAGGGAAGACAGATTTCTGGTGGTCCCTTTATCCCGTATAAGATCTTGTCAAATTGTAGCTGATGCAGGGAAAAGAAGGTTTGCAGGCTATCCCAGGCAGATAGGAGCGGGACGCAGCCCTTGACTCTGCTATGCCCTAACTTGTGCTGTTTGGTTGCAGGAGCTCGCGTCAATGCCAAGGACAACATGTGGCTGACCCCTCTGCACCGGGCTGTTGCCTCCAGAAGTGAAGTGAGTGATCCTCTCGTTTAGTCTAACACCTACTACCATCTGCAGAAAGAGAATTCTTTCCGCGGAGGACCCTCAAGGGTAGCTAAAGCCTTTTACTTCCAGCGGAAGAGAGTTACCCCCGTGGGCAGCTCTTCGAGTGTCTTGCTCATGTCGGACATGGCGCAGTAGGAGCGTCTTAGGGTTTCTATTGCTGCGACGAAACACCACGACCAAAAGCAAGTTGGGGAGGAAAGGGCTTAGTTGGCTTACATTTCTGCATTGCTGTTCATCACTGCAGGGAGTCAGACCAGGAACTCAGACAGGGTAGCATCCTTGAGACAGGAGCTGATGCAGAGGCCACGGAGGGGAGCTGCTTAGGCCAGTAAGGCTTGTTTCTCTTGGTTTGCACAGCCTGCTTTCTTATAGAAGCCAGGACCACTAGCCCAGGGATGGCCCCACCCACAATGAGCCGGCCCCTCCCCATTGATCACTAATTGAGAAAATGCCTTTCAGTTGGATCTCATGGAGGCATTTCCTCAACTGAGGCTTCTTCCTCTCTGTTGACTCTGACTCGTGTCAAACTGACACACAAAACCAGCCAGTGCTACGAGGCATCTTGGTCGTCCAAGATGGGTATAGCAAGAACCTTGATTACGGCGTGATTTCAGCCTGGAATGGAAGGAACACAGAAAACAGATCTGCACAATGCCAGAGCGGGAGTGGGGGAGCGAGCGAGCAAGCTTGCTGGAGCCTGGCACCTCACCCCCGGGAGATGTCAGATGATCTAGTCCTTAAAGGATAAGCAGAGCCCAGCAGGCCAGAAGGAGGAGGAGGGAGGGCCGGTGCAGAGGATCCGCATGTGAGAGGAGATGAGGCAGGGGCATGCACCCGAGTCAGGTGGAGGCTCCTGGAGCAGAGGGGGTAGCGCAGAGTTGGTCAGATCCGTGGGCTGCCAGAGAAACTGACATCCAGTGAGCAGTTGGCAGGGGTCTCGACAGACTGTTCCTCAGAGAGGCCAGCATGGCTGCAGGGTGAAGAGGGTTCTGCGTGTGAGAGTTCAGGTGGGCTGGCTGACAAGAGGCCAAGAGAAATAGGAGAAGGGCTGAGGTGAGGCAGGGGAGGAACCAATCATTTCCGAGGTAGTTCAAGGCGAACCTGACAGGATTTTGGCACCGTAGGAGAACGAGGTGGGGGGAAGGCTGGCAGGTGAATGGTGAATGATGCCCCTGGCTGAGCAGGTGCAGGTGGGATGGGATGGGAGCGGTGGAGCTGGCGTCCTGAGAGCTAGCTTGTTCTTTTCAGGATACAGTCTGGGAAATACTTACCCTAGAATGTAAGCTCCACGGGGGCGGGAAGCTTCTTTACTTACCTATTTCCTTCTGCGATGGATCCCAAATCTAAAATGTTCCAGAAATAGATTGAGGGAGGTGCTCAAACGTTCGTTTGTTGTCGCATGCCGGAAACACGTGACGGTGGTAAACGCGTTATCGTTATTTCTGTAAGCCTGGACCTCGGGGATAACGAGGAGGATCGTGGAAACCATGGAAAATGGATCAGCTGGTTCACGGAGAGGCTAATGCCGAGAAAGGGAAGGCCATTGTGGGAGCAGGACGGGGAGGGAACCCAACGAATATCAGCCTGGCCAGAGAGGGCACCCGAGAGTCTCCCATCAAAGACACAGAGCATTGTGCACATAGATTTGTCCAGTGGAGCTGCCCCTCTGGCTCTGGAGGAGGTGGCATTCTCCAGGGACACTGAGGAGCAAGGCGATGAGCCTGCTCACGGGGCAGCATTGGTGCCTGCCCTGCTGTTCATCTTTGGCAAATTCCAGAATATACTCAATCTGTGGCAGCTTAGTGCTCATTGTCCTCCTTGTCGTTCTTGGTATATGGAGTTGTTTTTTTTTTCCAATTTTTAAAATTTTTATCTATTTATTTATTAATTAAAAACTTTCACCTACTCCCTGCCTTCTCCCTCCTTCCCCCTCCCCCCTCCCCCTCCCTCCCCAGTCCCAAGAGCAGTCAGGGTTCCCTGCCCCATGGGAAGCCCAAGGTCCTCCCCCCTCCATCCAGGTCCACAAAGGTGAGCATCCAAACAAGCCAGGCTCCCACAAAGTCAGTCCATGCATTCGAATCAAAACCCAGCGCCATTGTCCCTGGCTTCTCAGTCGGTCCTCATTGCCAGCCGCACTCAGAGTATCCAGCTTGATCACATGCTCCATCACTCCCAGTCCAGCTGGCCTTGGTGAGCTCCCATTAGATCAGTCCCACCGTCTCAGTGGGTGGACGCGCCCCTCGTGGTCCTGACTTCCTTGCTCATGTTCTCCCTTATGGAGTTGTTTTAAAGGAGGTTGGCTGTATTCTCTTTCCAAATAGCCAACATGGAAGGAGGGGCATAAAGAATCCTGGATACTTCGTTCCGGTAATGGAGGCTTGCTTGATAGCTCCGTGTTACATTTCTGTACCTGGGAGAAACAGGCATAGTGCCTGATTGAGGCAGGACACTGGCCTCGGGAGATTAGCGTCTTCACAGGGGAGTCCTCCATAGGCTAAATTTTAAGATGACTTAATCCTTAGTAAATTTATTGTCTTTTGAAATATATGTATACATAGAGTCTTTTGTCCCTTACCTAGAATGAAGTCTCTTTAGTTAAACAAATTTAGACACTGTCTCTATATCATGTGCTGTGCATGTTGATGGGGTTCCAAAGGAAATATCATCTGTGATCCCCAGCTTTAGGGGAGAGAGGGACACACAATGCCTGGTTTCAGAATCCTGTGACCTTGTTAACTAATCACCCCATGAAAGCTTCGATCCTCGAAACATTCCTTTGCCACTGCCGCCATGTGTCTCAATGTGTTTGAGCCCAGTCTGACCAATGATGGGTTGTTCAGTTCTTAAACTTCTGTGTCGATGAAAGGCGCTTGGTCCTTCCTCAACCAACTAGCAAGGTTTTCTGGGTAAAGAGAAAAAAACTGCCCATGGATGACTCTCGCTGGGAGTTTGGGGGTGGACGAAATGTAAACTCACGAAAGACAATGACTTTATGGCACCCGCCACAGCGGAAGAGTTTCTAGTAAAAACTGGAATCTCTGAGTCTGTCAGTAGAGTCGGCTTGGCCTCATCCTGGTGCCACGGATATCCTAAATTCAGGCTCGTTTCTCCTTTTGAATTTGGCCCCCTGGTTGTTCTTTTTTGCCTCCCCTTACTAATTGTTGGGGGGAGGGGAGTAGGCCTAAGGGGAAATGACGAGGGGGGGGGCATTTGGTTTGGTTTTTAGTACTGTTAGCATCTGCTAACGAGGATGTGAGTTTCAGTATGACCTAACACATGCATCAGTTCCTCAGACTGAGATGGTTCATGAGTGTGTAGTAAAAACAAGTTCTTCATTGAAAAGCTTCAAACCTCTGTAGCATCCCCAACTTCATAGCCTGGCCCATCTGGGTGTCCCAGGATCAAAACAATTCAGAATCAAACAACATTGTCTCTGTGTCTGCTCCCTAATGGCCAGTGGCCACACTTTTTTTTTTTTTTTGCTAGCTTTTCCCAAGGTGTGGAGAAATAAAGAGACTTTAATTTAAACATTGGGGAGATTCACTTCGTAACAGTGGTCAAACATTGGGGAAATACACTTTGTAACAGTGGCCAAACACTGGGAAGATACACTTTGTAACAGTAGTCAAACATTGGGGAGATACACTTTGTAATAGTGGCGGAACACTGTGAAGATACACTTTGTAACAGTGGTCAAACATTGGGGAGATACACTTTGTAA